AGTGGCCTCAGCCCAGTTTTCTCTATGAGGCTTTTGTTCTGAGGTTTGTGCTTGGTGGATCTTTTTTTGGGAAGGTAAAGCATCTTTTGAAGGTCATTAGAGGAGGATTGTTGTGATCTTTATATTCGTTACTTCTTCTCTGAAATGATTCTTTCCCTTCAGCTGTCCTTGCTGTTCTGCTAGGTTTCACATAGGCATCCCTTTTTGTTTTTTTTTTCTACATAGCCCTGTGGCTGGATCCTCTCTGCCTGCCTGAGGGTCTCTAGACATGTTCTGACACATTCGCCTTCCTGGGTGCATCGTGGAGCATCTGATGACCTTCTGGTCTTGGGTAGAGGGACGAATGCCCCCAGAGGGTTATGGCAAAAGTAGCAAAGTTTTTTTGTACATGCCTATTTTCATAATTCTCTATCCAATGTTAGATGCCTCCAACTTCCATTTTGTTCTCAGCAGTAAGATCCTTTTCCACTGTTGCCCAAGCCCTCAATTCTATGATTACAAAGAATTATATTTTGAAACTTTTCCCACTTGTTTCTCTCAGTTGTGAAGCACTGGTAAGGCCACTTATACGAAGAATACGGAGGCTTGCATTACGTGTCCCTTTGTGTTTTCTGTACTTCAGCCTGAGTGTGTGGCACATCATGCAGGAGGCCATGGATCTGCGTGCTCACTAATGACGAAGTATCTGAGGCCAGGAGCAATGTCAGCTTGCCTGGGCCCATAGACTTGTGTAAGGATACAAATAGACCTGCTCCCCTGCTGGTTCCTATTTAACTATGCATTGTATTATTATTTAGTATAATATATATATATATATATATTCTACTTTTAAAAATGCTTATGTTGGCTCTGCTGCTTATTAAGCACATGACCTTGAGTAAGTCAGTTCCCTTACTCATGCCTTGGTTTCCTCATCTGTAAAGTGGATTGATGACTATTTTATGAGGTTGTTTAAGGATAAATGAGATAGTCATATAAAATTCCTAATACCTGTTATACATAGCCTATAGTAAGCACTAAAACAAATTATCTGCAGTTTGTAATAATGACAAAATTAATGAAATATCATTTTGTGGGTACACACCACCAAATGCACATTGTTAATCGTATGAAGAAAACTCTTTCTGTTGAGTTCCATTCCACAGTTGTTTTTGTTAAAAGTATTCTTGTAAAAACAAGAAGCCTCTAAGCAACTAGTTGCATTGAGTGCACCACTGACTAAATGCAGCCCTTCTCCTACTGTAGGCTTTTCTTTTGCAGTGTTCCCTCAACTTTGGGTTGTTGTTGCCATTGAAATTTTTTTTTCTTGTTTTGTACCATAGACATTTAGCTCAGGAACCTCTAACTTTACCCTTTCTTTTGATTATTGTCACAATCCTACAGTTTTAGAATATCTGCCTTGCCAGTCTATTCCTTTAGGTACTGCAGATGGAAAGTTATTGTTCTATACTTTGATAAATATACATTACTCAAAGCATGGGGTCACATTTCATCTTCAAGACACAGTGGAGGGTATTTCTTGTTATTAATATCAATGCTTAGAGCTGGGATTGTGGCTCAGTGGTAGAGCACTTGCCTAGCATGTGAGAGGCACTGGGTTTGATTCTCAGTACCACATGTAAATAAATGAATAAAATAATGGACCATCAACAACTACAAAAATATTTTTTAAAAAAATCAATGCCTGTTTGGAACGATTTCTACATTTGATCATTAAAAACACCCTATGACTGTCTTCTTCCTGTAATGCATACATTTTTGTTTTAGTTTATTTTTCCAATTTATCCCTATAGATAAATTTATTTTAATTTAAATATTCCAATAGSGTTTTACATAAATGTATATTATTTTTAGAGAGGATAATATATGTTAGAAGTGGAGAAAACCCAATGAGTGGTGTGTTATCTTACAATACTTTAATGATCCTGGGAACACGGGTAATAAGACTGTTGCAAAGTAAGCAAATGTGTTAGAGATATTTTCAAAATAATTTGAAAGTTATATGTATTACAGATATTGGTGCAGTACAATGGTAAACTAAATGTCACAATCATTAAAAAACACGGTAAATGCTTCCAAGTGATTAATTGTGTGAACCAAGACACATATGTGAACATCTTTTCATATTTGATCAGTTTTATTCCTCATGGCAATAAAGCCAAGTAAATTAAATGCAAAATGTTGACTGCAGTGTAATGGTTGAAATTTTAACATGCATAAAAGAGTCAGGGTAAATTTATAGTATTATGAAGGCTGTAGGCTGCAAATATTGAATGTGTATTCTTAATGATCTATGGCACCATGGCCAAATACCACAGGGACAGAACCGCTGTCGGTACATGCTGGCTTATTGATTTTCTTTTCTTGGATGTATATAATATTAATCCTGAGACTGATTTCCTATGGCTTGTCTGTTTTGGTTCAGGGCTACATGTGTGACCATCATGGATCTACTCTTCTCCAGAGAATATATGAAATGACAGCATCCATGTGGAATAGGGAGTCATAATTAGAGTCGAGTAAATTCTGGTATTATATATTTAAGTGTTTTTTGGTCAAATACATTATTTCAAAATTGTCAATTTGCTTTTTAACTTGATTTAGTTGTATATTCTTTTGAATCAAATTAGAGAAGTGCCTTAGTTTCAAGTCCTGTTATTTTTCAGAATGTCTTATGTCCCATGAGTGTGTGTGTGCAGGAAGAATGTATTGTGACTGTCTTACCCGCCTGAAGGAATTCTCCTTAGCTAGGCTTTGGAGATTGCTGCCACTTGCTGCCACTCTCTGTATAACTGATCACATCATATTTCCTTCTATAATATATGTGTATATATATATGTGTGTGTAATATATATACATGTATATATATGTATATGTGTATAYATATACATATATATGTGTGTATATATATTTTAAATTTTCTCTTTTAAATCTGGACTCTGGTTTTCTTCTTGTTATTTCTAGACAGGAAGCAAGGTGGACTTTAACTTACACTGCAGTTGTTAGGGGAAATTGTTTGTCTTAGTTTTATGTGATAAAATCTGCTTTTACAAACCAAGCACAAGAAAAAAGCAGACAACTTAATAGATGTCTGCTTTTAAGTATAAATATTAAAAAAGCAAACCCTTTAGAATATATCACTTTTTGTAAACATGGTTGAAATCAACAGATTACATCTAAAGAGCTTTAATATATCAAAACCCAACTCAGTGGAAGTTTATAGAAATTAATTAAATTGAACTCCTTTCATAAGCAGGCCATTTTTTACAAGGAAAACATAAACTCTAGATTTTGGTTGAAAGTCTAGATAGATTTGGAGGAATATGTTGCTGTGGAGTCACCCCAGAATAAAGATTCTATTACCAAAGATTGCTTGGGGCATTCAGACAGTCCAGTGCCCATGACACAGTGTTTTGTACACGCCAGTATCCTCCCTGTTTGGAATCTTGCCTGCTATACTTGCTCATCTTTTATAGCACAATCTCCATGAGTCCACAAAGATCTCTGGTTACAGAATCTGAGAGATGGGTATTTAAGCTTTTTTTTTTTTTTATCTGATTACACTTTCACTGCTCATATCTTTGGAATTGCTATCTGGCAATAGTGAGGCATTTAAAGTTTCTTGGTAAATCATGAATATTTCTACGGTAAGTCTAGATTTAGAAGCAAATGAAATTCCTTTCAGGTTACTAAGAATTGCTCCTTATGTTATGTTATAGAACACTTAATTTTGAAATGTCTAAAGCCTAGCTAAGGAGAATTCCTTCAGATTTTTATCCTGTCACTTTATAAGGTTGAATTACTGGAAAGCTATGCACTTGGGCCACATTTCAGTAGTCCTCCAAATAGATGCCTTAAAAGAATTATTATTTAATAGTATGCCCTCGCCTTTTATCAGGGGTCAGTTAAAGAGAGAGCTATATGACAACCATTTCTATTAGCTTTCATAAAATTGCAGTTGCATTCTGTGGGTTATGATAGTTCTTACTTTTAATAAAGATTCATGTGATAAGGACTTAGAGCTTTATCCTGGAATTTCCATCTCTTTTCACACACTGGTATCTGTTCCTTTATTGGATACTGAGTACTTTATAGCTAAATAGTTTCCCACTTTGAGGGGCTTTCTAAGAATCACAGAAACAAATGGAATATGGCTTGGATATTCTGGTAAAATCCTTACTAATGTTTTTTCTTCACTTTCTTTTTGGTTTGTGTTCTTGTCTCATTGTTACAATGACTCATTTTCATATCTTTTCGGGAAAGGGAAATAACTGAACTAGACCACTCCTTTCCAAATTCTACTATCAGAATAAGCAGTTCTTAATACTAAGCGATGGTTTAGTTGGAAGTCTCTTCAATCGCTACCTCAGAGAACTCTGTTCAACTCAGAACATGGTTTGCAATTTGCTTCCAAGACTCAGGAGGTAGGAGCTCTCTGCTTCATGTGTCATTGCATAACCTAGAGCTGAGGATGCACATAGAGTCTGGGATTTAAAAAGATGAAGGGCTTGGAGGTCACCCATTCCATCCCTATATCCTAAAGTGACAGCTATTGCAATCAGATTTCTGCATTTTAGATTTTTTCTTTGCTTTTTTTTTTTGACTACAGCTTTGGGACCTTAGTTTGAACATTCATTCCCCATTTCAGGAAGTACTCTCAAGAAGATGTTTTCTAGCATCCTCTTGGCATTATCTAAGTTGTGGGTGGTTATAAAAAGTTCTTTGAATATGCTTTTCAAGATACTGGAGCAATTTACATTTACATACAATTCATCTTCAAGGAAAATTGATGCAATATGTATACTTTGATTCACGGACTTAAACAGGGAAAAAATGCCAACCATTTATCCAAATAAAAMGATGACATTTGTTTTGGTTGTTTGAAAATGTTATTATTACTAGAGCATATTATTAATGAGTCAATTTATTTCTCTTAAAATTACATTGTATCATTTTTTAAAAGAAGATGGAGTCATGAAACATTTTTTTTTCTACCATAGGATCCTGGTTACTGGGTGAAGATTCATCACTTAGAATACACAGATGGAGGCATCCTGGATCCAGATGATGTCTTGGCAGATGTTGTTGAAGACAAAGATAAGGTAGATGATCCTAAAAATGTTGCTCTTTGTTTTCCTCTATGGAGATGCATGTTTGCAAGAGATTGAAACCCTTAACAAACTCATGKGTCAATTATTATTAAAAGATACCATCTGTTCAGGTTTAACCTAGGCAGCCCATAAATCACAGTTCTTCATCAGATGTTTGGAAAAACTTTGTCAAGGTTTGGAAGCCTGTTTGTGGTGGCCTAATTAGCAGACACTTCATTCCCAAGAGTTCCTGATACATCTCAATAAATTAGTGTCAGCCACTGATGTTGTTGGAATTTTCCTTGTGGTTGCTGGCTCTGGAGTTTATTCTTAGCCCTTGCTAAATATTCAGCTTAATGCCTGAGGTCTGAATGTGCTTTGCAGTAGAGAATATCACAGGGAGGAATGCCTCCTGAACTATTGTGACTATTTTTCTTAATGTAGCTGGCCACCAATTCTCTTGAGTAATAGTCCTTATTTTCCCCGTCCTTGACAATCCCCTTTTGTGATGGTCATCATTATACAAAATGTATGTATGAAGATTTGAAAAAAAATAAAATATTTTGTTATTAAAAAATAGTCCTTGTTTTCATTGCTGAAATTAAAATAAAGGACTAAATTGAATATTTCAGAAAGTTTGAGCCTGTTCTGCCACCTATGTGGGAATAATTCCATTGCAAATACATAATTTTATTTGTATTTTTCTTGTGATACTAAACTGAGACGGGTGTAAAAATAAAATATTCAGTTGCAGTGTGCTGGATTATTTCTGTTGAAACACACTATTTAAAATTAATTCTGGGTGGGGTTCCTCTTATCAGTGTCTAATGTGTCCTCCAAAATTGAACTGTTTTCAAAATTTCTTCTATTATGTATTTATCCTTAGCATGGTTTGTACTATGCTAATTCATGTTTGTAACATGTTTTTCTGCAGTTTGGAGTTGTGTGTGTGTGTGTGTGTGTGTGTGTACACATTTGTGTGTTTTGATCTGGACTAGAATATGAAAATGTGTGTGTGTGTGTGTGCATGTGTGATTTATTGAATTCAGTTAAACTTACATTTTTCTTTTTCTGCAAGATATTTTCTGACTCCTCAAATTTATATTCATCTTTGGAACTCAAACTTAGTTTGCTTTACATGGAAACTACCAATTTTCCAAGAAATTTATCTCCCTAAGTAGCTTGTCAGCAGCCAGAGGACAGGGACAGGGAAAGTTTAGTTTCTTTTGTGTTTTGTGTATTAATAGTGACYAGTGCAGTGTCCTACACAAGTCTGATTCTTTGGGAACACTTACTAAATTAATGTCACTCTCTCCAGGTGACTCTTGCTAAATAATTTTGATGCACTTCCTGTTTATTTAGTTGGTCTCAGTAAAGAAAAATGCATGATTTACTCTCAAGCTCCCAAGGCAGGGCTTTCACTCATTTTTCCCACTTGCACTTTCTGCTTCTTCCCCAGGACCACCCTTTTCCTTTGACATATTCTCAGTCTCTAGGGTTTTTATTAATGAAGGCTCTTCCTGCCTCAGATTTCACTAATTTCAGTGTATAAAAATGAAAAGCTGAAAMATGGCAAATTAAGAAGGGCCAGAAGAAAATATGTCCCCCCAGATTGGGGACATATTTCCAAGATTCCATTAGAGGAAGGATGATTCCATGAAGAGTGCCCAGAGAAATCATTTGTCCAATAGGACTCTTCCCTCTTCAGCATCCTTTTAACCATCTTGGCAAAGCTTGTTTCAACCATAATCCATTTACTAGATATAGAAACAGATTTATTAAATGTAATCTCTTTTAATGGGACTCTACTAACATTACTAAATAAGGTGACACAGTAAGAAAATCAGCTAAAGTCCTAGTAAAGGTTTCAAACAATTTGCGTACACCTTTACATCTTCTCATTTTATTACATTTTTAATGTTTCTCTAATGAAGCCTAACTCGTATTGTTCTGCAGAGGTGATGATAATTTATACTTTTGATACTGTAATAAAAAAAATTGCACTCCCATTTTTTTCTTTTTTTTAAAAAAAGTAAGTGAAAAGGCATTGCTTGATTTATTGCTTTCTGTTTTTCTTTTTTTTTTTTCACACTTACTCTGCAATGCTAAAATTTCCTTGAGATCCCTATATCTAGTATGCAAAGAAAACTCTGCCAAACCTATGTAAACTTTTTGGTTGTTGTTGTTATTGGATTTGTTTAAGCAATAATTGTAAGCTTGCCCAAGATCCTTTGAGGTGGTATTGAMCTTTGATAAAATAACAATTTACCTATTATCAAAGTGGCTACCTAATATTCTCTTTTATTTACAATATGAATAAAAAGCAAGCAGAAAGAGTCTTAGATGGATGCACATGATCACTGAGTGAAAGCTGAAATACTTTTGTTCTTAGGGAAGACTGACAGTGAGTGAGTAAGGATGGTCAGGAACTGTTGGTTTCCCAGCTATAAAGAATGGGACAGGGAAAACAAACTTAGACTGTAGTGTATATTGAGGTCACACAGTACATGAAAAACACATCCAGTGTACTTCAGTATAGACCAAAAAAAAAAAAAAAAAAAAAAAGAGAGAGAGGTTAAATGATACTCTACATAAAATTAGAGAATGATATAGTTGTATTTGTTTTCTAAAAAAATAAAATAAATTTCAAAATATTTGGTCTGAAATAATTTGCTTTGATCTTACTTCTATTTTTTCTTTGGATAGCATAGTGCTTGGTGTACAAATACTGTCTCTTTGAGATTTTTTTGTGTTGTTTTTAACATGCTTTCCCATTAGACACCCACCCAGAAGAAACCAAGTGCTCACCCTGTTACACTATTTCATTATGTTTTGTCAAAATATTATTGAAACAGCTTTGGAATTTTTCATTTTATGATAACTAGTATTCATATAAAATGTTGTGCTAAGACTTAGTAATTATTTAGTTATTACAGTTATTCTCAAGATTCTTCAGCTATATGCATCAGTCTGTTGATTGAAATTCTTTGTGATAAAAATCTAAGAATTACAGCATTATACTCATGTCTTTTCTCTAACTGCCAAAGGCAACCAACTTAGTTCACCAAATAACAACCGCTTAGCATTCTGCAGATCACCACCAAGATGCCATGGAGAAATATTATGGTAGTATTATTACTCCATTTTCCTGCTAGCGTTTTACTTTAGTTCCTAGGTGTGGAGGTTATGAAAGCACATAGAGGAAGTTTGGATGATGTTACAGAAATAAATGCATTTGACACTTCYATATTCTGGTTTACTTTAGAGTGAACCTGCATCAGGAACCATTATTAATCTCATTTTTCATTTCTGGAACAGTCTCAGAAATTATAAGTGACTTACCCAAGATCACACAGGTATTGCATAACAGAACCAGACTCTAGGACCCTGAATTACAATATCCAGACTCTATTTTTCTTCTATGCTGTGCCACATCATGTGTTGGGCATTTATATCAATAACTTCTAAGGAAAGTTCATCAACCATAAATTAGCATGAAGTTTTCTCTTACACAGTCACTACTATTGCTTAAAAAAGGTATGTGATAGACCCAACTATGTGGTGTAAAAAAATTAATTCAGAATTAGTATGTGATACATATTTAATTCAATTAAAATCTCTGCCTAAAGCTTGCATCTCATTATATAGTGCAGTAATATGGGAAGATGTCTCTATCTCTGACTAAGCTTTGTCTATCATCAGGGCTGTGTTTGGAGAGATACTAGTGGCGTTTGTGGGCTCCATTTAGGGGAGGTTGATCCCTGAATCATATGTGGTATCTGGTTCTCAAGTATTATGATTTCAGTTCATCTCTATCTTTTCATATATACTAGGGCAAGTTTCTACATCTATATTAGCTGCATTTAACTGTATGTAAAATAGATATAATGTTAGTTCTTATAGGGTTAGCATAGAAAGCTATATAGGTAAACACTATAAAGTTTAAGTATAATATTATGTATGCTTAATGTTAGCTATTATCTTAGTAATACTATGGTAGTGTTATTACTGCAATTTTTACCTATGTGTTTTGATTTAAGCATTAACTTTTTTAATATTAAAAGCTCAAATAAACTATTTTACTATACCTGCTAACAGTTTTCAATAAACCTCTTGAAAATTTGTTTAGAAGGTATTTAATTGTTAAAAAATAATTTTCTAAGAAGATACTTGATTACTATGATAGACCATTTGGATTAGTGTATTAATATTTGAGAAATGAAAATGTCAGTTTGACTTAAGTTACAATGAGAATCCTTTTATCAGGACATGTTGTTTGGTAATGTAAGTACCATTCAGGGATCTATTATGGTTTTAAAATAGAGACTGGCTTGCACAATGAATGAACCACTGACCTAAAACCAGACATTCCATTCCCAAGCCCAGGTTGCTTTCCGAGCACACTCTGTTGCCCTCTAGTGGAGGCCAGTTGCCTAGGCACCAGATCATCAGACACACTTCCAGAACATGAGGAGTTATTTCTACATCATTTGAAAATGTTATTATATTTTTAATATAACTCACAGAATTAGACATGGATAACAAAACTAGAGTTTTCATAACTTCACCTATGCATTATGAATTCTCTAAGAAAGGTTACAGGAAATTCTTTGCCTTATACAACTTTAAAAAAAAAATTCTATTCACTGSTTGAAAGGTTAATAAATGGTTGTGATGAAGTGTATAAATTTTTCAGTGTGTAGTTGGACAATTTATGATGTATATTGTGCTTTTCTGGGGAAGGTAGTTGCTAAGTTGGACTACTTTTTAAAAGAGTCCTGAATTATTTCTGAGCCTTCATTTTGTCAGTAAAACTTCTATCTTAATGTAGAGCACTCATTTTAAACATATATATACACACACACACACAAACAAATTAGGATATGACATTTTTTGTTTTTTTTTTCTTTCCTGCTAAGATTTTACTTTGGTTCCCAGGTGTGAGTGTTATGAAAGCACATAGAGGAAGTTTGGATAGTTTTTCAGAAATAAATATCCAGAAGCCCCAAAGA